CATTTCCTGGTTGTCAGATTAATTCGAATGTAAAAAGCTTTATTCTCCGGAACTTGTTTGTCTATTCAAAGAGAGAGAAAAAATAGTGGAAATCAAAAATAAAGTTATATAGCAAGTTGTCGCTCGTAGTCCATCGGCCTTAATTCATCTTCCTTAGCAGTTAAGGCTGTTGTTGACGTTGTCTGAGAAGCCGCTGCTCAAAGTCTGTTTCCTGCATTTTTGCATTAGGAACTCTCGGAAAAATTTTTTCTACTGCCTTCTGCAACAGCATAATATATTCACTGCAATAAGGCCAGATCATCATCATCATCAATGACAAAAACAAAGTTCACTGTGTTTATAAGTTTTCTGTTATATGTAAGTGACAGTATATGCGCAGTGAGATACAATGTTTTGAAGTGAAAAAAAAAAAAAAAAAAAAAGGACAAAAAACTAAGATATGAATTTTTGTTTACAATTAACCGACCTGGCTATAAGGTATGTGGAGATAATACGACCAGTATGCAAGGGCTGGAGCGAGTACAAATGTAAGAGATCGAAAAGTTATAAGCTTCTTTTGATACGGTTGCATCTCTCACAGAAATTTGGGATTTATTTATCCGGTATATGATATTCGCCAAACCAAATATAACAAATTTATCTAAACATTAATTTTAAAGTATACTATCATCGGCTTAACAACGTCGTTAAAGAAGTAGCTTCTCAGCCCAGCAGTTCTAATATCATCAGTAGCAGAAAGGAAAAAATCTCACTTAAAACTGGATGAAAATATCTATAAAAACTAATGTTACATGCATTTTTATTGTTTTCGAAAAACTGTAAGTTAATTGGCGGATTAACAAGCAAGCAGCCATTAGGCTGTAATTAAAACCTTTTACTCTCGTTTACTACACCAATTTCTGATACTCAACTCACTGCTGAGCAATATCGCTGTTTATATAATGGTATAGAATATAGGAGTTTGAAAATTGCAGTTGTTAAGGGAAAGATGAACGCGTGAAACTGAGAAAGCAACCACTGAGCATTGGCAAATCTATACGAAATAATAATACTGAAAAGTGGAGGCAAGTTTACAAGTTCAAAGTACAGATGTTTTGGCGAGTTTTTTGAGATAAGTAGCCTGATTCTTTTTTTGGCATGAAAGGTGTTAGATCGATAAAAGTTTGTGAGTCTTCTCACAGTTTCTGGCATTTTTCACATATTCACTTTGCAGTACTATTTTGCTAAACTGATCAGTTATAATGGTTCACTTAGTGCCTTAACTTTCAACAACAGCGGTCTTTCCTTAACAAAAAAAATTAACTGCAACTTTGTAATGAAAATACCAACAATCAGTAATCTGTCGCAGTGACTGAAATCAGATATCCGCAGTATAAGCGAAACAGTTTGTTACCAGAAAAAAAAAAAAAAAAAAAAAAAAAGG